TCTCCTATAATCATGCATGTGTCACTAATGTTAATGTGAAACAGCTGGATTGTCCTTTCAGTCAAGGAAATAAACCAGTCAAAGCACAAGAAGAGCTGAACTAATTAGCCGAGCACAGGAGCCTTTCAATTTGAAAGTAGTTTGTAAAACCTGAAGTAGCTCAAAGTGTCCTCCCTGACATGGATTATCTGGTCACCCTAAATTAAGGACAGTCATTTTGTGGACAAAATTGATTCTGTGGAGTCACAAGATGCATTTTGTGTTTTGATGAGTCATAAAAGGCACCACGAAATGCATTTCGTCTTTTGCAGAGTCACTAAACATAAATCTTATGGCATATCTATATTATTCCATTATAAGCCTAAAATTAGCTACATCAAAAGTGTTGGGGTAGTTTGCAAGCCATACAAACTATTTACAAGGTAATAAAAGTGTATATGCAGACTTGACTGAAAATCTCGCCTGTTGACTAAAATTGACAATCCTTTGTAAATGTCAAAAAGAGTAATCACTAACTAATTAGGATCATATCAAGGATCCTTCTTTGCAATAGGCAGTTGACCAGTGATTGTCCTGTCTTGGTTGTCCCCCAGAACACCCAGTGGACTGGGCCAAGTAACTGTAACTCCATCAGCAGTTCGTAACACTAGTGATTCTACAAGGATCGGCAGACAGTCTGTGACTCCTTGTGTTAATTTATTCATATTCAAAGTTTTATTGTTGCATATTACAGCCATGGCCAAAAGTTTTGAGAATGACACAAATATTAATTTTCACAAAATCTGCAGCCTCTGTTTTTATGATGGCAATTTGCATATACTCCAGAAGGTTATGAAGAGTGATCAGATGAATTGCAATTAATTGCAAAGTCCCTCTTTGCCATGACAATGAACATAATCCCAAAAAACCCATTTCCACTGCATTTCAGCCCTGCCACAAAAGGACCTGCTGACATCATTTCAGTGATTCTCTCATTAACAGAGGGAGAATGTTGATGAGGACAAGGCTGGAGATCACTCTGTTATGCTGATTGAGTTAGAATAGCAGTCTGGATGCTTTAAAAGGAGGATGGTGCTTGAAATCATTGTTCTTCCTCTGGTGACCATGGTTACCTGCAAGGAAACACGTGCAGTCATCACTGCTTTACACAAAAAAGATTTCACAGGCAAGGATATTGCTGCTAGTAAGATTGCACCTAAATCAACCATTTATCGGATCATGAAGAACTTCAAGCAGAGAAGTTCAATTGTTGTAAAGAAGACTTCAGGGCACCCAAGAAAGTCCAGCAAGCGCCGGGACCATCTCCTAAAGTTGATTCAGCTGTTGGATCGGGGCACCACCAGTGCAGAGCTTGTTCTGGAATGGCAATAGGCAGGTGTGAGTGCATCTGCACGCCCAGTGAGGCGAAGACTTTTGGAGGATGGCCTGGTGTCAGGAACGGCAACAAAGAAGCCACTTCGCTCCAATAAAAACACCAGGGACAGACTGATATTCTGCAAAAGGTACAGGGATTGGACTGCTGAGGATTGGGGTAAAGTCATTTTATGAGATGAATCCCCTTTCCGATTGTTTATGGTGAGCGCTACCATCAGTCCTGTGTCATGCCGCTGAATTAGCTGCCCCCTGCTATGTCACAACGTCACATATGAGTTAAATGCAGAGGACACATTTCTTTGTGCACTGTGTGGTGTGGCACATTTCCACTGACCTCTAAAGAATAAAAATGCATGTGCATATGTGTGTTTTTCTTTCTTTCTTGTTCTTATTATTGAACGCTATATGTTTTATAATTTATATTACACAGCGTGTTATATAACGACCATGTTAATGTTTTAATTTGCAGTAGGTCGACTTACCAAATAATTACCTTGAAAAGCTGTGGTGCAGCTGAAGCTGAAGGGTTTATATACATAAATGCACGTAATGTTATAACTAATTAATCATGCTAGTGCATATGACAGGAGAAACATTTTAAAAGACTGAGTGAATACAATATTGCATATTACTACTCTGATGTGTTAAGTGTAAATTTTTGATTCTCAGTACATCCTAAACAAATTTCTATGGAGATGATTACTTTAGACATAAATCTTTCTGTAATTTGACCTGTAGGCAGATTTTCCAAGTACACTTCAAGTGTGACGTTTACAACGATTCACACATTCCCAACATACCCAAGGTACAAACAACATTAATGTACCCACGTGGGCATAGTTACCAATGGCCATTGGGTTGTGACAAAAAAAAAAATCTGTGATTTCGGATTTGCAATTCATTTTCTACATACAATTACTTTAGACGTAAACCTTTTTCCGCTTTTAATAGCCCAGCCCCCTCAGCTGGCGTAAATTTCCTCACATAACTAGTGGTTAGTAAACGTAGTGCCGATGTTAATACGTAAACTGAAATTTGTAATCACGACCATATCATAACCTCATAAACTGGGATTCGTAAATATAAAATGAGGATTGTACTCGTGAAATTTAACGGTAGGCACAGGCACACATTCGCAAATCCTAATATGAATTTGCGTTTAATAAAATTACGATATAATCGTTACATTTAAATACAATTAGTTTACATATAATTCTATCTCCATAAAATTAGTGAGACTAGAGTGAGTATCGCCATATAACTTGAAAACGAGCTCAAAGCTCCCCCTAGCGGATACAGAACTAGAAGACGAATAGTCAGTGCGACGACTAAATATCGCCCGCTAACGGAAATAAACGACAAAAACAACACAGAACAACAACAACAATATTGGATACCGGGCTTTCTGTACACATGTTTTAAATATAATCAGCATAATGAACAGCATATTGGGCATCAGTTATTGCACAAAAGGACAAGCTTTTGTTGAGTTTTGTAGGTAAAGTACAAGTGCCAAAGAGATTGTACTGGAATTACTGGGAACCATACAGTGAGATAGTGTACTAGAATGACATTGGCTAGGCAGAGATTTTAACATGAATGTGCAATAAGATTTCTGATGGCTTGTGGTATGAAGCTATTACACAGCGATGCAGAACCAGCACGCCTGCTTCAATACTGTCTACCAGACTGCATGAGAGAAAATAGTCCATGTAGTGGGTGGAATTGGTCTTCCATAATTTCACCCTGGGAGCAATTATGCATATATACTGTATTATACATACATACATACAAACATACATACATACATACATACACTATATGGACAAACCTATCGGGACAACAAAATCAAATCTATCCACTAATCCATCTTCTCTGTGGCTGATTTTCTTTTCCAACAATAATTCCTTTCTCTTGTGATAAGGATGAATTTCTGTTCACCTTATGGACAAAAGTATTGCGACAAACCTCTTAATCATTGAATTCAGGTATTTCATCCAGATCTATTGCTACATGTGTATAAAATCAAGCATCTAGCCATGCAGTCAGGTTTACAAACATTTGTGGAGGAACGGGTCATTCTGAAGAGCTCAGTGAATTCAAGTGTGGTGATGTCATAGGATGTCACCTTTGCAATTAGTCAGTTGGTGAAATTTCTTCCCTGCTAAATATTCCAGTGAGTAAAAGTCGGCAATGCTCTGTTGACTCAATTACTGCAGAGTTCCAAACATCCTCCAGGATTAACTCCAGCACAAAAACCGTGTGCCAACGCTGGACTCTGGAGTAGTGGAAACCTGTTCTGTGGAGTGACCAATCATGCTTCTCTGTCTGGCAGTCTGATGGATGAGTCTGGGTTTGGCAGATACTAGGAGAACGTGACCTGCTGGACTGCTTTGTGCCAACCGTAAAGTTGGGTGGAGTATGGGGTTGTTTCTCAGGGGTTCGGTTAGGCCCCTTAGTTCCAGTGAAGGGAACTCTTAATGCCTCAGTATACAAAGACATTTTGAACAATCCTATGTTTCCAGCTTTGTGGGAACAGTTTGGGGAAGACCCTTTTCTGTTCCAGTATCATTCAGTGCACAAAATAAGGTCCATAAAGACATGGTTGGGTGAGTTTGGTGTTGGAAGAGCTGGACTGGTCCACACAGAGCCCTGACCTCAACCCCATCAAATACCTAAGGTGTGAACTAGAGTGTAGATTGCGAGCCAGGTCTTCACATCCAACATCAGTGCCAGACTTCAAAAAGGCTCTTCTGGATTAATGGACAAAAATTCCCACAGACACACTGCCTGGTTTCCCAATACTTTTGTCCATACAGTACACATACACATATACAGTACCAGTAAAAAGTTTGGACACACCTACCCATAGGAAGGTTTATTTGCACTATTCCTTACAT